CAGTCTGGGCGCAGAAATCCAGAGTCCTCCAGACATGCAGAGAGGCCAGTGAGGGCACCCCAGATCTGCCCAGCTCCTCCTCTGCAGACCTGTGGCCAGGCGTGGCAGCTAAACAGGCTGGGCTAGGCTGGTAGTGTGGGCCAGCCCACCTATCGGGAGCTCAGCAGGTCTCCAAATGAAGCCGGGAATGGGGAGGCTGATGTGGAAGCCTCAAACCCACCTCTCTCCTTCACTGCACCTGGAAGCCTGAGGGAACTCCAGCAGTCTGGGCGCAGAAATCCAGAGTCCTCCAGACACGCAGAGAGGCCAGTGAGGGCACCCCAGATCTGCCCAGCTCCTCCTCTGCAGACCAATGGCCAGGCGCGGCAGCTAAACAGGCTGGGCTAGGCTGGTAGTGTGGGCCAGCCCACCTATCGGGAGCTCAGCAGGTCTCCAAGTGAAGCCGGAATGGGGAGGCTGATGTGGAAGCCTCAAACCCACCTCTCTCCTTCACTGCACCTGGAAGCCTGAGGGAACTCCAGCAGTCTGGGCGCAGAAATCCAGAGTCCTCCAGACACGCAGAGAGGCCAGTGAGGGCACCCCAGATCTGCCCAGCTCCTCCTCTGCAGACCAATGGCCAGGCGCGGCAGCTAAACAGGCTGGGCTAGGCTGGTAGTGTGGGCCAGCCCACCTATCGGGAGCTCAGCAGGTCTCCAAGTGAAGCCGGAATGGGGAGGCTGATGTGGAAGCCTCAAACCCACCTCTCTCCTTCACTGCACCTGGAAGCCTGAGGGAACTCCAGCAGTCTGGGCGCAGAAATCCAGAGTCCTCCAGACACGCAGAGAGGCCAGTGAGGGCACCCCAGATCTGCCCAGCTCCTCCTCTGCAGACCTATGGCCAGGCGCAGCTGCTAAACAGGCTGGGCTAGGCTGGTAGTGTGGGCCAGCCCACCTATTGGGCGCTCAGCAGGTCTCCAAATGAAGCCGGGAATGGGGAGGCTGATGTGGAAGCCTCAAACCCACCTCTCTCCTTCACTGCACCTGGAAGCCTGAGGGAACTCCAGCAGTCTGGGCGCAGAAATCCAGAGTCCTCCAGACACGCAGAGAGGCCAGTGAGGGCACCCCAGATCTGCCCAGCTCCTCCTCTGCAGACCTATGGCCAGGCGCGGCTGCTAAACAGGCTGGGCTAGGCTGGTAGTGTGGGCCAGCCCACCTATCGGGAGCTCAGCAGGTCTCCAAATGAAGCCGGGAATGGGGAGGCTGATGTGGAAGCCTCAAACCCACCTCTCTCCTTCACTGCACCTGGAAGCCTGAGGGAACTCCAGCAGTCTGGGCGCAGAAATCCAGAGTCCTCCAGACATGCAGAGAGGCCAGTGAGGGCACCCCAGATCTGCCCAGCTCCTCCTCTGCAGACCTATGGCCAGGCGCAGCTGCTAAACAGGCTGGGCTAGGCTGGTAGTGTGGGCCAGCCCACCTATTGGGCGCTCAGCAGGTCTCCAAATGAAGCCGGGAATGGGGAGGCTGATGTGGAAGCCTCAAACCCACCTCTCTCCTTCACTGCACCTGGAAGCCTGAGGGAACTCCAGCAGTCTGGGCGCAGAAATCCAGAGTCCTCCAGACACGCAGAGAGGCCAGTGAGGGCACCCCAGATCTGCCCAGCTCCTCCTCTGCAGACCTATGGCCAGGCGCCATAATTTACATTTTTTAAAGAAAGTTGTCCTTTAGCAACAGTCTTCAAGGATCTATTCCCTTTTAAGAGTTAAAATGATTTTGAGAAGTGGGCAACAATGCCAGAAGAAGCAGACTCTTTGGCAGTTTTTGTGTAATTATTTTTGTAGGCAACTAGGAATAGGTGGGGGTGTGCGTACAGATGGGACAGGGCCAAGAGTGCTGGAAACAAAAAGCAATTTTTATATCAAGAAAGCCACGCACACATTTATGGGCTCACCACATAAATATCTTTCTAGAAGAGAACAGGAGTGAGGGGCGGGGAGAGAGAGAGCTTTCTTTTCCTGAAACCCTATTTGCTTCTTGATTTAGTATTTCTTATAGCACATCATTATTTATTTTTATTTCTCTCCTATAACACATCTTACAGAATTCCTGTAATTTATGAAGAAGATAATTTTATTTTGGCTACTGTCAATTTCATTTCTTTCAAAAGAAAATTATTTCAAAACTGATTTTATCAGCACATATTGTATGCAGGCATGGGAGCTATTACAATTTGCCTCATAAATATGTACAACTGTTATATATTATCCAATTTTTAAAAATATTTAGGGGAGATAAAATGTTAACTACCCAGATTTGATCATTATACATTGTTCTGGAATGGAATTATGACATTATATCTCATACATTTTAATTAAAATTAAAAGTATTTTTTCTCTTAAGATTCTTTTTCATTTTTCTTGTATATTCCCTTCTGGAAATTCAACTTACACTATACTGCTAATCAAAACTCAAACATGACAAATACTTCATCAGTTAAATTTTTGAAAATCTGTCTTCTCAGAATATATATTTAATATTTTTTGGTAAGTTCAGATTTAAATCACAGGGGTCTACACTATGTCTTCATCCATCCACACCCTATAAAGAACTAAATCATTGATGATTAAAATTTCTCATCTACTGACATGGGCTTTCCTATAAGCTACTAGGTAGATTATGGGAACACCTGGGATGTGTTGGTGAGGTGAGAACTGTGGTTAGGGAACAAGGGCAGGAAGCCAACCCTTAAAGGAATAAGTGACAGAGATGTGTTCAGTGCTTCCCAAGTGGGATCCAGAGCTTGTAGCTACAGACCAGGAGAGAGATAGGTTCACAACACATAGATCACGTTGGTTATGCTCCATCAACTCAGCCTGGTAATACAGTAACATTTTACTCATCTTCTGCCTCTTTCCTTGGAGGTTTGGCATTCCCTGGTGTGTCTGATAGATGACCACGAATGTGTCCAGGGAAGACACATGTAAGAGGGATTCAAATATACTTTCTGTCCTAAACACAAAGGGTTTAGGATTTCATAGCCATTTCAGGAGATTTATTGCTTTAAAAGTAAAATGTTCAAGAAAAGAGAAGCAGAGATTTCACCGGGAAAAGTTATTTGCTCAGTAAGTTCTTTCACACTTCTTTGCCTCTACTTAGCAAGGTTAATTTATTTATAAAACTCATTCCCAAATGTGTACATGTGTGTGTGTGTGCATATGTATGTGTGTGCAAATTTTTTCTGTAGTTCTGGTATTTTTAGGTAAAAATTCCCAAATGCCTACTGCTATACACAGTCCAAGTTATAAACACAAACCTTGGAAGCAATGTCGTCTTCTTTATAGGGAAGTCTAATCCCAGGCTGGGGCTAATCTTCTTGGCTCTTCACATGTTGTTTACGGTAGTGTCCAGCGCATTATCCTTCTTCTGAGCTAAATGGTCCTCACATTTCTGGGATTGTGATGTTTGCAGTCTTTCTTGACTCCATACTCCGTGAATCAAGTGGATGCCAGGTTATTTCAGTCACATATACTCAGGACAGGTGGTTGAGCACGTAAAAATGATAGGTTTGACAGTACAAAGGACAGTCAAGGAAGTTAATGAGGATATGAGTTTTGTCCAAAATTGTTCAGACCTCATCAAGATTTATACAAAACATTTTTACTTAAAATACCAGAACTACAGAAAAAATTTACACACACATACATATGCGCACATACACACACATACACACACATACTCATTTGAGAGACGATAGTAGATCCTGCCTATGGCAATAAGCTCATACTTTCATAGGATTATAATACAGTAATCAAATTAAGAAGCACTTATATGATACCATTTTCTAATACAAAATCCATATTCAAGTTTCATTTGTCTCAATAAGAGCCTTTTTATAACATATGTGTCTAATCTCAAACACTACGTATTGCATTTGGCAGTCCTGCCTCTAAAGTTTATCTAACTGTAGATCATTTCAGCCTTTCTTTGAATTAAATTAGATGTTCTTAAAGACTACAGGCTAATTGTTTTGTATAAATTCCCTTAGTTTGTGTCCATATGATGGTAGGTTTTTTTTTTTTTTTTTTTGATAATCAGATATAAGCAATGACTTTTTGGCAAAAATTTTGCTTGTGCAATGAATCTTAAGCACAACATATTTAGAAGTTTTTGATGCTGTTTGGATCAGTATTGGTAATATTAGTTTTAGTACATTGTTAGAAATAGATACAGCATTTTCATTTCTCTTATTTCATACATATCTTACTGTGTCTTCTAGGTGAGTCACTCTAAGACTCTTGAAGTATCATGTTCTTTAACCAACATTTCAGCAAATTGTTTTAATACTCACTAATCATTTTTACTGGAATAAATTAATACCATAATCATTGGAAATGATGATTTTACAACCCTTTCATTTCTTTTACATATATTGAGAGCTCTTCTGTAAAGTAGAACGTTTCCTTTTTGCATTTACCTCTGTTTTTATACCACCTTCCCTCCTTTCTAAAATAGCCTACTATATTTTTACTATAACTTTGCTCTTAATTCAGTGTTTTATATCCCATCATGATAATTCATCATTTTAATGTTCAACTTTTCCAAATCTGTCTGCATTTTTGATTTACCAAACTGGCAACACCCACATGCCTTTTGTTCTAAGTAGCATTCTCTGTTTCTGTCTATTAAATTGGTTTCATTCTTCTCTTTCCCAAAAGATACATATGAAGACAGTGAGTAACTGGGCTTTATTAATATGTGAAAACTGCCTGATGTCCCATCACAAACATCTGGTTAAATTGTATTAAAGAACATGGCTTAGGTTTAAGGGCAACCTGGAAACCTGTACCACTTATCACAAACACGGAAAACTATAACTCATTTAGATAAAATAAAACTTTTTGTGAAAAATAACTCTCCCCACTTATTTCTATTATCTCATTGAAGGAGCCTTGTATCTCATGGAGAAGTTAATCAACTAGTGTGTTATCGAGAATTTAATGTCCTAATACTGAAATTTGTTTCCAGGGGACTCTTCCTCACCACTGGACCGTGAAATATACTTTGTGGACCACCATCAGGTAGAGTAATCCCCAGATTCTCTTCTTAGTTTCACATTTACATTCAAGTGCGGTTTGCTTAGAATGCCCACTTGAGTTGGAGGTAATTTCACAGTCAACATTGAAGAAAACAATATAAATCTGAGCATAGTAGATAAGTTCATAAAAATAATTTATTAGAAAGGCATAGAAAATCAGAAAGGTTATCCTACATTCTGATATTTAGAATTTCCTAGAATAGAATAAAATAAATATGAGCAGGTTCCTGATAGTGAGCCAACATCATTAGTTCTTACAAGTATTGTGGATTGTCCTGTGTCCTCCTGAAAGAAACATCAACATTCTAGTCTCCTGTGCCACAGAATAGAGTTATTGTTGATGTAGTTAGTTAAAATAAAGTCATACTGACCTAGCTTTAACTCAATACAATTTGTTCGTAGAAGAGAAGGCCATGTGAAGACAGAGTCACACAGATATCACGTGAAGGTGGAGGCAGAGATGTATTTGTAAGCCCGGGAACTCCAAGGGCTGCTAGTAAATAACAGAGACTAGAAGACGAAGCAGTATTGTTTGCAGGTCTTAAAGGAAATATAGATATGCTAAAACTTGATTTTGGACTTCACTTCTAGAGCTTGGAAACAGTTCATGTTGTACTAAGGCTCTGAGTATTTGGTACTTATTTTTAGAGCACTAGAAAATTATATAGCATGTACATCCCAATAAATAGATGATTTACATTTTTGTAACTTGAGAATTAATCAGTCAGTAGTTAATTTACTATTAACACTCAACTATTTATAATTCTACACTCTCCGATATCTATTTCTCTAGTGTGACATATCTTTCTTCCTGCAATATCTTATTAGAATTTATCCATATGTGCGCTTGAGATTCCACTAACAATAGCTATTTTGATGGTTATCTGAGCTGTCCAGAGAGCAAAGAATTTTGGGGAAGTGAATTTGATTGTTCTCCTCTATACCCATTGTATGATGTGCTTCTATATACCAAGGTACTTATTTTCTTTCCATTTATGTACAGCTGGTGATTGAATACAGGGTCTTGGGCATGCTAGACACGTGCTCTACCAGTAAGTTACGCCACAGTGCCATTCAAACATTTTTAATGTATCCCACAGGAAGATATACACTTCACGTTGTAAAGCAATGCCCACACTTGTATGCATTTATATGTTGATAAAAGTCATGTGCCTGTATTAGCTTTAAAACATGTAAATATTTTCTATTCTTTTGTATTTTTAAAATGATGGTGCCCACCCTTCAAATTAATTTCATACTAATTATTGAATAAAATCCTACAGTTTTTTCTTTTGTTATGTTTTGCTTAAAACCTCTGATTTCTACTTTCCAGAGAAATGTCAACTAAGCTATATGTGACATTCCTTCTTATACTCCTAACCAGCTACACACAAAAGTGTATATGATGTGGAGATAGGAATAACTGAGAATTTGTAACACTAGCCATTCCTCAAAAAAAATCAATTATGATCTTTCAATTTAGAATGAAATAATCTCTAAAAACCATTTTCTAACTATTTACAGACATAAATCTATATTAAATTATTTCTTCCTGAAGTTCCCAGAAACTAAGCACTTTTTATACATGGAATCCTTTGCATGCGAAACTCTTAGATTATTCATTACCACTCTGTTTCTTGGTCATTTCAAACAATTATTCATTTTCCTTAAGAAAGTTTCATGGTTTTCTTTCTTCCCTGAAATAATTCAGTGTTTGAGTGAATCAACCAAGTAACACCTTGTGTTCTAGAGATAATATAAGTAAATGTAGAGCTGACAACTAATCTAGATGAGCACATTTGTTTGGGGTGAATTTTAATGTGATTTTAAGAAAAAACAATCATTAGAAACCACTGTACCCTAACAGATCAGCTAACAATCTTGAGAAAGAGAAGGCAACTATTATTCAGACTTCTGGTTTTTAAAAAAACCTTATGTCTTAATAATTTGAAGCTATTTTGGAATTAAAAAAAGATACTTTGTGGTGTTAAAAATAATTTCCTGCATAATAATATATATATCATTGCCAAGAATGTAGCATGCAAGTCCATCCCACTATCTAAAGAAGGCTCACTAAAGGTACTGTCTGGGATCAATTATTCAAATGTAAGATTATATTTTACCAGATATCTTCAAGGATATCATTAATTTATACTTCTAACTCTCTAAGGGTAGGCTGACCATATAGTATATTTTATTTAGTTCATCAGCAAGCTTTTTTGTGTGTGTTAAATCTAAAGGAGACCATTGATTCCCATTTTAAAATTGCCTGGGCTATCTATAACTATTGTGAATGTACTCCATGGTTTAGAATTGTAAGCTTTATGTAATCATTTATTTTTATGTCGGTTCTCAACTCTGTGCAAAACTAGGTAATTTTCCTTTCTTAGTGACATGAGCAGGCCTGTAAATGGTTGTTAGCTTCAATTTTCAAAGACTTCAAAATCTTCTTTAAAGGTCAAAGAACTGTTGAAAATTGTCAATACAGAAATATAGGTGCTCTGAAAATTTTTCATAAGAATAATCTGACATTACCTAACCCTTGAGATTTTGCTCAAAGTCCAATTAAACAAAGCTAATGGAAGACTGCTGTTAAGATTTAAATATAAGTGTCCCCCAAAAATCTCAGGTGTCAAAGGTGAAATTTTTGGAAGGTGACTGGATCACAAGGTCTCTAAGTTCATCAGTGAATTGACCCATTGATGAGATAATAATTTGATGGCATGATGGGGAGGAACTGAAACAGGAAGTGGAGTCTGCCTAGTAGAAGGAAGGGAGTCATGGACACATGACCCTGGAGGGTACACCTTATTCCTGGCCTCCGCTCCCTGGCTCATTCCCTTTCTCTCTGCTTCCTGGATGCCATGATGTGAGCAGCATTGGTTTGCGTACTCTTCAGTCCTAATGACTTGATTCATTCAGACCAACAGCAGTGGAACTAGCCAACAACAGACAGAAATTCTGAGGTCAGGAGCTAAAATAAATCTGTCCTCCATTAATTTGGTCATAGTGACACAAATTTGACTAACACTATTACCTACATAGATTGTAACCTGTTTATTTCATTAGCTTTCATTAAAGGAAATTATAAGAAGAAATTACAAAGAGTTCACCTTCACATTGACAAAGGGATATCAGCTAGCTATCATGCTTATTATCTTTCGTATTCAGCTGAATAACTGAAAAAATATTTCCTCTAGTGTTCCAAATGCTATAACTGTTAACTCATCATATTTACGTGTCTGTGTTTGAATGAATAATTCTATGAACATCCTATCGTAGGCATTAGGATTCTGCCAAATTTGGGATTCATAAAAGGAGACATCACCCTTCAGAAACCGCTGTCCAAACTTGTTGACAGAGCTCAGCTTTGAGTAAAGGGCAAAAGTACTCGAGTTGATCATAAATACCAGAGGTTTAGGATGGTCAGCTGTAAAAATAAAGCCCATTTCTGGTCAAGTCTTGGAAGCAATGTGGACATTTGGGTGTTTTCTTTCAGTGTCTTGATGAAGAAAAACAGGATTAAGAAAACTTTCCACCTAATAGGTGTCAAAGAGCACTGCCATAGAGTCAGGTGTGCTCTCATAGGATTCTATTATACAGAGCCCAAAGGCTGGCCGTATCCTCCATGTGAAACCTCATGCCAGTGACTTTAACATTTTTAGATGTCTTAGTAACAATCTGCTATGTGGCTAATACCACTGCTTGGGAATTTGTTATTCACATTTAACAGGAATTTCAAAACCAACCGAAGGGATGAACAACACCGAAAGAACAAAAGCTTTTTCTTTCCTGGAATACGTTTATAAATCTTCATCATACATTTGTCGTCCTGAATCATATAGTACCCTGCCATATGATACAGGCCAGAGGCATTTTTTAAAAAAGTGTTTTGAAAGACTGAAGTGATAGCAATTTGAATTTGAACATCATGCATTCTAAAACAGCTAGCAAATTGCCAATCCATAAAACAGCCATCTTTTTATTCTTTCTTTGATTGGTAAATTGTTCAGAAATGATCAAGATCAACTCAAGGATGCATTAATTTATTTTCTTCAGTTTCTGAATGGTGTATGGGCCCTGTAATTCTGTTTACAATATGGCACTGTTATAGAGTGAGCAAAGAAAGTAACTGATATTTTATTCTTACCTTGCAATGAATTTTTCTCGTTACCTTCTTCAAAGTACAAATGAATGAAGAATGATAACTCCTGCATAGGTATAAATACATGCATACATATGGGAAAAGCTAAGGCAAATGGTGTGAAAAAACCTTTACTTGCCAAATCATTTTCGCAATTTGTTAAATGAGACCAGACTTGTGCAGCGGGTGTCACACAAAAAAACTAGAACAGATCTTTTTAGCCTTGTTGCAAAATTAGAGTCCAGTAAGATAAAGTGAACAGAAAAAAAAATTACTGGAAATGCTGCATTTTTTAACCTACAGACATGGCTAAGAGAGATTAACATAGCAACACATCCTTTAGGTCCTGGCCACTCAAAGCATGTATCTTAATGTATGAAATGTGCCGATTTTGCAGATGGCATCTGTATAACTGCATCTAGGGAATTAATCAGGTTTACTTCTATGTCATACATATTGAGCACTTACCACGCATTTCTCAAATCCTCAAGATACACATTTGTGGAATTAGGTCACGGCTTCTTCTCCATTAATGATTGGAAATAAGTACTTAATTTTTATGAATTAATAAATTTATTTCTTAGTCTTTTATAAATATTGCTCATTAATCAAGCAGTTTACTGGTATACAAATAGATTTTTGCCTAATTTGTTTGTCATTCCTCACAGTGTCACTTCATGAATCTTCGTTAAATGTATTACCACTCAGCTTACAAATATACAATGAACTTTCACTTAGTCATAAATGTTAAGGACACTACAGATTAATTGACCATTGTAGTTAGTTCATAATTGTATTATACATTCCAGAAATAAAATCACAAGCAGTTTATAAAACATAGTTTAATTTGCAATGCAGAGAATTTCAGAATCTTTGGGTGGTTCAAACTCAATCTACTAAAGTATTGATTAACTGAGTGTCAAGCCTGCCAATGTTAATTTTGAGGATATATGAAAAATTGTTCACTTCTCTTCAATCCTAATGTCATCATTATGGTTCAAGCCCCTGTTGTGCCTTGACTAGTCACCATCCTTTTGCCTAGTTACCAGGACTGTCTCACTGTAATCCATTATTTATTATGAAATCTGAGTGATTAACAGAAAGAAAATTGATACATTTACTCTGTTTAAAACATAACTTGGCTTTCTCCTTACAGTAAAATAAAGTCTAAAATTCTCACTGTGGTCTGGTTATCTTTATTTTGACTGTTGGTCATACATTAAAAATCTTACCTACATCCCTAATCAACATGTAGACCCACATCTCTACCCCTTCAGCTATTCTCCAATCAGAATAATGGCTTTGAGACCCTGGATCCCTCCACGTACTTTCTTGTCTCAAGTCCTTTTCTTCCCCTTTCCTGATCTGTTTATGTCTGTACTTTCTGTCCCATCATATGACTACCTTATAATCATTCTTCAGATCACATCACCATGAGTTTCAAACAGGAGTTTTACATCCTTCTCTTTCATCACTCTGAGCCTTAATCCTGTGAGAAATGTCTCTGCATACTTCTTTCTAGGATTTATTTTTCATTCTCTAGTTTCCTTCGTACTTACCTATATCTCAAGTCAACAAGGATTTCAATAGTGGCAGGACTTTCTCATCATTATAGCTCCAGTACCAGGCATAGTAACAGAAATAAAAGTCATACTATATTTTAACTAAATGAGTGACTGCAATACCTTCTTTAACATCAAAATTCATTAAATCTAGTCTATTTAAATTGCCATTTTCTCTATGGAACATAAAAAATACTATTCATATTGTCATAAGTTACCTGAATTTGTACCCTAAGATGGTGATTTCTATAATTGACACCCAATATTAACATATTTCCTGGTCTCTTCTCTTCTTTTCAAAAAATTAAGGTACAGATTTTACGAATTGAGACCAGGTTAAAACAAAATTCATAAAAATATTATACTTATTTTTAGGCTTTATTGATTATAAGATGATGTATTGTGGGATATACCATCGGAACAAGGATTTCTAAAATGAGAATGACAGAAAATATGAACAAGGGACAGTAAATAGTCTTAAATAGATTTTCAAGACTCAAGACTTTGTAAACTAAATATAGTAACCC